TTCCCCCCCTCTTCCCCTCTCTCCCTCTCTCCCTCTTCATCACATGGTATTAGCGTGTAGCCACTTGATTTCAGTTGCACTCTCATCTGTCGTGTTGTTATGCATTTTCAAAGTATCAATAGCATAACTAGCTCTTTTAATTTCCATATTTGATTTTCAGGTTGGGGCTTCATTAATTCGATTTATCAGAGGATTTGGGTAGAACACATCTTGCAGAAATTTTTGAACTAAAGATTTGTGTTACATCCTTGTATAATATTATGTTGTATTTTGTCTCTTAGAGGGTCCACACAGATGAAGATTGAAAAGGAGATGGGAGTTAACATTGTAATTCCATCTTCAAGACAGGAGGATTCTGTTAGTAAGTTTTGCGGTTCACAATTATTCAAGTTAATTTTGTCATTGGATTTTTTTAAAAGAAAAAAAATTAAGTTTGTTCTCTTGAGTTTGCTATATTTGGTATCTCTTGTTTGATTTAATTTTTCTGCTTGCATGTTACAGTCATTGAAGGTGTTTCAATTGATAGCGTGACTAAAGCTTCAGCAAGGATCCAAGCTATAATCGATCAGGTTTGTTGCCTGCTATCATGATTTTACACAATAGATATTGTCCTTCCAATTTCTACATTTCATGGCTCTATATTTTTTTTAAAAAACAAAAATGGCTAACAATTGTCATTCTTTTAAATATTGTAATGTTAATTACTTACGTGCAATCTTGTGACAAAGAAGTACTTTTATGCATTGCGGATGTGTTCTTTTAATTTACTTTCTTACTTTTCTTGCTTACGGGCCTAGTTGCCTACTATTGTGTGCAATAACTTAATTTTTTTTTTGGTGGGGTCAAACTTGCTTGAAAATACAGGCAGTCAAGAGCCCGAGCCTCGACTACTCGCACTTCATTTCACTTCCATTGGCGATACATCCTGAACTAGTTGACAAGCTTGTCATGTTTCAGAACTCCATACTGGGGTGTGGTGATCCTCGCATAGAGGAGAATGTGGATAGTGATTCAAATGAAGATTATACTGAAAAAGAAGATGAAGACCAAAAGTTAGATAAAGGACCTAGTGTTGCTGCTAAACTGAAAGTCGATGATGACAAAGAAGGTGTTAAAGTGGATATAACAAACATACCTCTTGTCAGCTATGCTCCTAAAGCATCCGAGTCTTCAAATTTATTTGGTATGAAACTCATCATATTCTGTGATGCTACATCTCCTGATAAGAACCAAACATGAACAGAGCAATTTGAACAGAAAAAACTAGAAGTATATTGATGAAATAATAGAAAGATTACAGAGTAAACCCTAACAATGGTGGTATTTGAGACACCACCAACTCTCCCAAGTTTTCCAAAATTTTCCCACTAATCAGACACGACCTCTCTAACTATAATCCCTCCCTTTTATACGTTCATTCTCTTCTAACCACTACTAGTAGCTAAGACTAATAAAACCAATACCTAAACAATATTCCTAACAGATCACACTCTTATTAACTAACCAAACTAACTTCCAAGTGCCTATCATCTCCACAACAGCTTAGCATAGACAAATAAGGGTTCAGTATCTTTCAAGCAAAAAAGAATAATAGTAACAATAATAAGGGTTCGGTATTGCTTACATTTGGAGCGGTTTGTATGAACAATACTATGTGATGGCATTGTTAAAAAGAAAGGTTTTAGTAAGAGTAGATGATGTGATGTCCCTTCCTTGTAACATGCTTGTTTTATTTGGTCCCTAGTCTTTTGGGTCTTCAAGAATACTCGCTCATATGATCCTTATTGACACCCCCCAGATCATAGTGATATACCTTTTCTTTTTCCAGTTTATTGGTTTGCATGTATTTTTTTCCCCTTTTTTAATATTTATATTATATATTTCTAGCTAATCACAATGATATATGTGTGCTTGACAGACATGGGGATTGAGAAATCCATATTCATCAAACCAAAAACTTTCCATTTAACTGTTCTCATGTTAAAGTTGTGGAACAAGGAAAGGGTTGATGCTGCTGCTCAGGTTTTACAGGTAAAACTTGAATGAGTCGAGTCAGTATCAGCTGGTAGTATTGGTACTAGTTGCTAAACTTGTTTGTCGTCCAGAGTATCTCGTCTCAAGTGATCGATGCCTTGGATAATCGGCCTGTCTCCATAAAACTTAGAGGCCTGGTAAGATCAGTTTGCCGATCATTTCTTAACAGTTACGTTTTTTTTTTTTTTTTTTTTTTTTTTTTCCCTTCCTGAAATTTTTTTTTTGGGTTTTTTTTTTTTTTTTTTTTTTTTTTTTTGCCCTTCCTGAAATGTTTATTTGCGGTTGATTTCTATACAGTTCCATTTTAACCTATTAGATCACTGTTACAGATAATGCAGTTAACAAGTAATGACTGTTCTTCATTTTTCTGTAGGATTTAATGAAGGGTTCTTTGGCTAAAGCACGTGTTGTCTATTTGCCAGTGGAGGAAATTGGTGGTGAAGGCCGACTTTTACGTGCTTGTCGTATCCTAATTTTTTAAGATATTCTTTATATCCAGTTTCATTCGTACTTTACTTGCAAATTGGAATTAATAAAACAAAAATGAATGTTGTGTTTCATTAACTTTAAATTTGTCGATAGTACTTGAATAATTTTAGTAATTTCTTTAGCTTTCGTAGAAGTTATTATCGATGCATTTGTAAAAGCTGGACTTGTCCTTGAGAAAGATGCAACCCACAGCATGAAGGTACTATAATGAAATTTTTTTATATAATTTTTTTCTTCTTTTTCCTTATCTTTTTTACCTTCTTGTGTATTTATTTGGTCTTTTAACTTCAAAATTTGTTGCTTGGTCTATTCTACTCTTGCTTCCCAATCGGTTATGAGTTGAAAAACACAAAACACGCACACACAAAGCCCGTTTGGTTCGTTAGTTTGAATTTTGTTAATTTGATTTTTTTTTGTTTGAACAGACTAATTCAAACTGTATGGTTTAAATTGTAGTTTGAATTGGCGTTTGGATGTGCAGTTAAAATTTTAATATGAACATGGAATAAAATTTTAATTTGTGTTTGGTAGGTGTGAAATGCAGAGAGAGTAGACACTTTTTTTCTGTTGAAAAATAGTTTGAACGGTTGAACTTAAGGAGGGAGCTAGACTCTAAGTTGGACAGTTAACTCAATTCAAACGGAGAATATAATTCAGACTACATGCTTACTAAACACGAGTTTAAATTGTGCTCGCTGTTTGAACTGAGTTGAACTGAACTAAACCAGTGAAACAAACGGGGCAAAATGTCATCCAAATGTGAGGTGGAAACGGAATACTTGTAATCAGAGAAATCCATTCATGTTATTGTTGCTCACCTAAGTGTAGGAGTACTTTGAAACCACTAGGGTTTGAACACAGCCTTACCAGTGACCAGTTCACTTCTCCAACGACATGTGTGCTGCTTGTTATTTTAGTTGACTACTCTGAAGATATATCTAATATCCTACGGAGTTGATAGTTCGTTATCTCTTTGAATTGCAGTTGCATGCTACGGTGATGAATGTGAGGCATAGGAAAAGGTACTCCATTTTTTACTTGCTTAAAATTTTCACTTCTACTGGTGCTTATTAGATCCGCTAAGACTTCTTGCTAAATGCTGTAACAGTTTTGTTTTCATTATTGCTTGCTAATATGTGAAGCACAATTTTTTCTTCAGGACAAAATGGTCAAGAAAGGTAGATTCTTTTGATGCACGATCCATTTTCAAGCAGTATGGATCTGAGGAATGGGGAGAGTATGTTATCCGTGAAGCTCATCTTTCACAGAGATTTGCTTGCGATGACAATGGATATTATCATTGCTGTGCTTCTATACCATTTCCTGTTAATATGCAAGTTGACTGATCTCTCTCTCTCTCTCTCTCTCTCAAGAAAGAAAGAAAGAAAAAAAAAAAAAGAAGAGAAATTGAGCTCTTAAAATGTATAATTTTTCTCTTTATAGAAATCAGAATAAAATGGGAAATAGCCTTTTGGACTAGTTTTGCTAAGCGTTTGAACTTCAGAGTAGAAGAGGGTTGTTTTTGCAATTGAAACATTGCCGGTGGAAAATACTTGCTAGCCTCGGTGATCTAATTTTTATCTAGTTCTTCTATGTATGTATGTATGTATGTATGTATGTATTTGATACCTAATCTTCTAAGTAGGTATTTCATGGGTTCTCATCGCATGTTATTGAAAAATCTGACAGCTATCTGGATATGGAATGACCTAGTTTTCATATAGCCTTTCCCATAAAATAGTTGACAGGAAAAACGGAATAATTATTAGCAACAGGTGGGACACTCGTTGTGGCTGTAATGACCATATATATAGTGTAGAGATTTTAGTTCCAAAACATCTCAGAGCTATATGGTGAACTTGGAAAACAACTAACTCGATAGTTGAAACTTGAAACTATGTTGGTTAATAGTATTATTTTTGCTGAATCCATGTTGGTTAAATTACTCATTGTTGTTGTTGAATGTGGTGGGATTAGGTATGGCCATAAAATGCCATGAACCCTTCCCCCCCCCCCCCCCCCAAAAAAAAAGAAAGAAAGATTAAAAAAAAGGAAAAATTGAGAGAAAAAAAAGGGGGCGAGTTAGCTCGCTATGAAGTACAATGTGAACTTATGTTTGGTAGAGGGATTCGTTCCCTGATTCGAATCATGATTCGTGGTTCGTTACAGTATTTTCTCTCACAAAAAATACACGTAAATTGAAAATGGTTTGAATCCTCCAACCAAAGGTCCATAATTATCTTACACGTTCTTGAAGCCTTTCCTATTTTTGTTAGAAATGGTTGCCTTGAAGCTTTTTCTCTACCCAAGACGGTGACAATACAGGACTCAACACCGGGCTTCTATCATCCACTATTTCTCTTTGTTGATCGATTGTAGGCTCTTCCAAACATGCCTTCTCTGAGGGAAAAACTTTAACCCTCCACACCTTAAAAGTCTGGTCCAAACTTGCACTATAAACCAATAAACCCTTCACACCATTCTCTGTTTCAAGAGAAACCACCAAACATCTCACTGGCCCATGGTGACCTTCAATGACAGCAAGACATGAATGGAAGCAATTCCCTTCCTCTCTTCTCCACACCCTTATCGTCGCGTCCTCGGAGCCGCTAAATACCAACTCTCCAATGGCTACCAAACAGAGAACAGCAAAGTGGTGGCCTTGCATGAACCCTCCATGGTTATATCTCCCTGAGGTCTTCTCCTTTTCCCAAAAGTTTATAATCCCATCTGATGAACCGGAGTAGAGAAGACAAATCCCTGGTGACAAGCTCAAAGCCAAGGCATTGACCGGTGAGAGTTGGAACTTGAGGGTCATTGTTAGAATATGAGAACTTTCTCCGAAAACTCGTCTCCAAATCTTCACTGACCCGTCGGATGAGCATGTGAAAACACACCCATCTTCTTGGTTTATGACGATTGCGTTTATATGACCTTCGTGAGCCACAAATGAATCCACACAGCGCTTTTCGTTGATCTTCCAAGCCTTGACAGTTTTGTCCCATGACCCTGTGTACAAAAGCTTGTCGTCATGGTTGTAAGCTATGCAAGAAATATGCTCCCTATGTTGTTGGATGTTTTTCTTTGAGAACAACAATAAGGGGTTCCTCTGAGGCAAAGTTGTGATCTTCTTGGGCGTAAAGCTCTCTCTAGACGACACGTCCCAAACACGGATTTTGAAGTCACCGTGCGTAGTGAAGAGCATTTTCCCGTAGGCGAAAATGGCGCGAACATGACCGGAATTAGCCTTTATGTATCCCGTTTCTGTGCAATCCGGTTGTTTCCATGCATGAATGCGGCTACTTTCCGAGCCAGTGAATATGAAGTCTTTTGAGAGTGCAATTGAAAAGATGTTACCTTCATGGCGGTGAAGAGAAGCTATGCAATGGTAAAGAAGTGGTTGAGCAGGAGAGGTTCGAACCGGGGACAGCGTCCACGGTGTCTCGGCAGTCCTATCGGGGCTCATAGGTCGCTGAGGCACTGATGTCGCGGAAGCAGCGGAGGGTCTTGCAGGAACAAAGTGAATGCCGGGCTCAGGTGAATTTTGTTGGTGGTGGTGGTGGTGGTGGTGGTTGCCAAAAGAGAGTCTCCGAGGCAAGTTGATGCTCTTTCGCTCTTCGTCCATGAAGGTCCAGAAGTTTCTCTCGCCATGGAACTCCATGGGAGATGATCATCAACACAAGTGTGCTTTGACATTGAAAGGGTGGTGAAAACTTAAAAAATGTCTCTTCGTTTGTGTTAAATTTGTAGTTGGGGGAGTTGCCTTTGGAAGGGTCCAGTTTAGGGTATTAAAAGCAATTGATATATGGCTGTATACGTCTCAATGATCAACGGCACCAACCCAAGCGTAGAGCAAATTATATCAAGAAAACCTGTATTAGGAATTAAAAATCTCCAACAAAGGTCATCAATTGTAGTTTAATTCTCGCTACAAAAAACTTGTACTATACCTCGTCTTGGTTTCATAATTAGTTTTTTTTTTCCCTTAACCATAGGACAACTCAAGTCACACATTGAATATATATATATATATATATATATATACATATATTGAGAATCATAGACACTTTGATTAAGACTAAGAATAAGAGATCAGTCCAACTATAAAAAATTTGTACTGTATAAATTTAGGACTTTCTCCGGTAGACCGTCATATCAGTAGAACTAGTTTTTAACAGTTAAATCTAGTTAAAATTACATTAAATTAAAAAAATATATAAAATAAACTGTTTTTTATGCATATATGACGGCTAAAAAATAAACAACTAGTTCATTTTTTCTAATTCTACTATAGAAACTCCTTATTAGTTTTGGCTGAAACTTTTTGGTTGTGATTGTAATATAGCGTACTCTTGTAGTGACACACTAATGCTTAATAGTGGCATTGGCCTTATAAAAGGACTAGTGAAACTCTCACAATACGAATTAAAAGAACAGCCGAAGTAGCAGATGAGTTTAATATCTGAGTAATTGTTTGAACTACCAGCGGCCAAATATAAGTAAAAATGTTGGTTGAGCAGAGCAACTATAAGTGTTATGTAAGATGCGTACGTGCTAAGTTCTGTCTCGCTTTATCTTATTAAATGTTGCCGTTTTGCTCGGACTTGTGCACTTCAAACGATGAACTGATGAGGCAAAGTGGAGAAATATTTTTCGTCTTTGGAATTTTTCTTATTTTTATTTTTTTACATTTTTTAAGAAAAAAATGAAAACGATTTTAAAATGGCGTTTGGCATAATTAAAGACAAAAAATGAAAATAAAAATGATTTTTTGATTTAGTGTAAAATGTGAGATAAATGAAAAAGTCATTTTTTTATTTTTTATTTTCGTTTTTTCCTCTTTCTAGCACAAAGAGAGAGACAATGAGTTTTTTTATACTGAAAATAATCTCTTAATAAAACTATCAAACGCATTTTTAAAAATGATTTCTGTCTGAGATTGAAAACGTTTTCATTTCTATTTTCATACAAAAAAATAAAATCATTTTGAAACGAGTTCCAAACGCACCCATTAAATGCAAAGACACGGGATGAAAAAGCTGCAACAGTTTTTTTTTTTTTTTTTAATTGAGAAAATTGGTAGTTTAACCTTATTGTTCTAAGATTTTTACCATTTATTTTTAATTGTTACTTTTTTTAACTAATATAGTGCTTAAACTAAATGGTATTAGTTAAGCATAAAAGGTAAAAATTTAAGACTCATATGCATTTTGGGAGGTATTAATCAACAGCTTTTTTTTTTTTCATGCCTCAAGCCAATTTAGTGGTAAATATTGAACATGAAAAGCAGACCTAAGGTTTTTATCGTATGTGTTGGTACATGCATGGGTTTATGAGTGGCGACTTTTCTGGGTTAATTTACTTAAAACGAGTAGAATTTGTGTTGACGGTTGTAAATGGTGGTAGAACATGCATGAGTAGTTATCCGGAGTATTGAATTCTGGTGGGTTGATAGACTTCTTTAAAATCCATATCTAAATTGCATAATCAAATGGGCTTCCCTGTAGAATCTAGTATAGTGAATCCCATGCTTTCATCCAGCCAAGAGAAAATTAAAAACTTGTTTTTCCCCCTTTTTAAAGAGATTTCTAAAATAAAATTTGGAAAAATGCGCTATTGATAGGGTTCTGTTATGTATACTTTATACATTTTGAACATTTCCAACGATAAGAAAATTACTTTTCTGATATACTACAGAAACAACGTGTAGTTAACAATGAGCTAATTTTTTCTGGTGTACTAAAGAAACGACGTGTAGTTATAGTCAAAGAGCTAATTTTTCTGATGTACCAAAGAAACGACGTGTAGTCATAATCAAATGTCAGTTTTTCAGCTCGACCTATAAACGACATGATTTCTCATCCAATGTCTTTTTTGCATGAAATTTAACGTTTGTCGTTTAGTTTTATATTTTACTCCGTTTTGCATAGGAGTTGTTTGGTTGGGGGGATTCGTACCCCGATTCGAATTATGATTCGTGATTCGTTATAGTATTTTCTCTCATAAAAAATACACGTAAATCAAAGATTGTAATCTATAAACTAAACGTCCCCGTAATACATGAATGCAATTAACCTGATGTAGGACTTATGAAGATTTCGCTCGCAAATTGAAACGACATGAATCTAAGAGATACGGCGACTAATAATATCTGTCCAAAGGTTTGGCACAGGACTTTTGGAAGGTTTTGGAGATTGAAGAGAGCTGATTTGGAGCATACGACAAAGTGGCTTTGTCCCAAACCCATATCGGGATCAAAAAACAATAGCAAAAACGATACAACAAAGAAAAACGACCAACAACCAAAAACAACAACAAACATGGAACGACAACAAAGAACAGTGACGAACATAAATGAACGATAACAACACCACATTACACACAACAAAAAAGAGCAAACGCAATAATAGTAAAACAGAGTAGAACAAGTAAATGATAACGAAGCAAAATCGACGACAAACATGAAGCGACAACAAACACGGCCTATATAAAATAGACAACAAAGAGTAAAGCCAAAAAACGACAGCAATATGAAATGAACGACCAAACCCAAAACACAAAACGACAACAAATAACGAAAAACGAACAAATATTAACGGTAAGAAAAACTGAAACAGTATACAACAAAGTTAAACTAAACGAAACAACAACGGTAGACGAAAAAAAATGAACGAACAAATGACAGACACAAAGCAACAAGAAAAGCGACAATACCGAAAAACGACAACAAAGTTGAAAACCACACAAAAACGACAACAAAATGAAGGGACGGCATTGAATAAAGGCCAAGAAGTTAAAAATAAGCATTAAACGGTAAGAAACGACAACTACAACACCTGAATAAACGGAAACGGCTAAAGGACGACAAACACGTAACCCATAGCCAAGTTAACACCAATGAGAAAAACCATAAACGACAACAAAATCAAACGACATAATTGACTAAACTACAGCAAAGTGAAAACTAACGACCTGTACCGTGATGCTTAATTTTCTTGAAAACTTGTCTCCATTTTATCAAAAAAAAAAAAAACTGCAGATCTTCCCTGGACGAATACAGCCATACTGGGATGTGTGCAGGTTTCACGTCTTGTCAATGTTGTTATCTTTCAATGAATTTTATTTTCTAAAAAGAAAATAATAAGTCATGTAATTACTTAGGACACTATTTTCTGAATTGAATTCATGATATGTAAAACAGTAGAACACTGTTAAAATACCAAAAATAATAAACTTTAGAAAGTTTATATGATTGTAGCTACAAAATATATATATTTCCGTAAAATTTCTCTCTTTGCATTTGTTTGATCTCAACCTAAACAACAAAGTTTTGGTTGAAATTGCAGTGTACTTTGTGTTAAAAACACAAAAAAAAAAAAAAAAAAAAAAAAAGAGAGAGGCAAAATATCATCCCAAGAACCTGGAAGGTTGGAAACTTGGAAGCATTATATTTGCTATTATTTTTTAGAACTTTTTTTTTTTTTTTTTGCCAGTCAAAAGGAGATTTAAACTCAGCATTTTATGGTACAATGAGATGTGTAATTACTGTTAGGTTCCCAACTTGAAAGTCTTATTAAGATCTACCTTTAAAATCAAACTGAAAATTCAGTATTCAAATTCAAATATGATTTTTCTTCCGGGAAAGAATAATATTTTTTTTGTCAAGTATGTATATATATTAGATCAGTCACACTCAACAAAACAAGTACTATGATAAATTAGCTTGTCCACTTTAAGAAAACGTCGGCCCCAGAATTGCAGTAGATAACGTTGGTTCATGTACTAAGTTTAATAATTGCATAGAATAATAAAAACAAGTCCATTCTGAAATCTAAATCAATTGTGTTTGCGTACGAAGTTGCTTTCGTTTGAATTTTATTCAACTTTTATGAGCAAAAAATCTAATTCAACAGTACCCAAAAGTCTGCTTGAAGTATTGCGTAATAGAGCGTAATAATATCGAGCAACTACGGATAAAAAATTAGGAAAAAAAAAAAAAAAAAAGATAACTGTCAAATTTCTTAATCACGTAATTCCAAGCATAACCTAACAGTAAATTTACGCAATTTTATAGCTTAGATATCAATCGTCCCATCCCATGTTAAAGAAAAAAGAACATGTTGCTCACTCTGGAAATTTAATTAAACGAAAAAAAAAGTTCCTTTTTTCCTTAAAAAGAAAATCCACATATAAGTTGTGGGTCATGCCGATGTGAAAGCTACACTGGTATTGCCCGAAAATACCAAAATAAGCCAAGTAATGCTAAATATTATACTATCTTATCACTAATTTAATCAGTGCTTGCAGAAACTAAATCATAATTATTATTTTTTCACAGTAAAACAACTAACCCTTCCCAATATTTTTCTCACTAGATATCAGTCTAATTAATAAGGTAGGCATATATTATTTTTCTCACTAGATATATATCAGTCTAATTAATAAGGCGGGCATATATTATTGTTCTCACTAGATTTTGATTGAAAGATCCAGCACAGTAGTACTGTGGGAGACCTATATATAATTATTGAGGTACTTGATTTATAAATTTCCTTAATGAATTACTCGACAAAAGAAGGTGGAAATGATAAAAACAAGAAACTTTTAACGTAAAGAAGGTAACATAATTTTACCAACATGATCTGAAATTGAATAGGTCCAAAAGCAAAATAAAACAACAAAAAATGGCCAAGAAAAAGTCATGGGGATTCCCTATATATCTCCATTTCTCCAACGATATGATCAGCAGTTAGCTAGCCGGCCAAAATAATAATCGCCCATAAAATAATTTAATTATTTAAGCCTCTAAAAATTAGGATCAGCACATCACCAAACAGTTGATTACACAAACCCAACTAATCCTCATCCACTCATATTATATAATTTTTTTTTTCTTTTTCTCTATTGCGACCACTTCTTGCTCATTTTTGAGGCGTGGTCGGTTCTGTTTGTGGCGTGGTCGGTTCTGTTTGTGGCCCAAAGCTTGTCATGAGGAATCACTTGCCCTTTTCTTTCATCATAATTTTGTTCATGCATGTCCCACCAAACACCACCCCTCTCTCTCTCTCTCTCTCTCTCTCTCTCTCTCTCTCTCTCTCTCTCTCTCTCATACAGTGGTTGGTCACATGGAAGAATAATTGATGATCAGCTTCTGGACATTTCTATTAGGAGACAGCTAAGACCAGGGGGCAAAAAAACCTGACCGGATATGCATGGATATTTCGCTCCCTTTGCATATTCTTTTTTTATCCGCCAAATAAGCGTTCCCATTTATCCAAAATAAATAAACAAATAAATAAATAAAGAGAAAATTATAAAAAGAAGGGGTGATTAACTTATATAATTTATATTTTATTAATGTCCATGTTTGTTGCTTAATATTGTACTTGTTCACTACTATATATAGTGAGCTAGAAAAGGTCTTTTGTGATAACTGAAGCCCTGATTTTTTTTCCCTATCCTTATCTTCACTCCAAGAGTTCCCCAAGCTCTTCATTTCTAATTTAATTTCCAAAGATGGCCAGAATTGCATTTGGACGGTTTGATGATTCCTTCAGCTTGGCCTCTTTTAAGGCCTATGTTGCTGAGTTCATCTCCACCTTGATCTTTGTTTTTGCAGGCGTTGGTTCAGCCATAGCTTACAGTCAGTACAATATTATACATATATATATATATATATGAGCTGATTTTACTTAATTTCCTCTCTCATGTATAATATTATTCGTATTGTTGATCTCTTTTCTCTATTGTAATGCAATATTAAAGTATTTCCCACTTTAACATGGAATCATTTTCCCAAGCATAGATCATTTAAAATACATGTGAAGAATATTTTTTGTCTTCGAGAAATTACAGTAAATAGTTTCTAAAATATGTATTTTTTTTTTTGTGTCTTTTAAAGACAAGGTGACATCTGACGCGGCTCTTGATCCTTCGGGGCTAGTAGCCATAGCCATTTGCCATGGTTTTGCTCTCTTTGTCGCGGTCTCCGTCGGCGCCAACATCTCCGGTGGCCACGTCAACCCCGCCGTCACCTTCGGATTGGCTCTTGGAGGTCAAATCACCATTCTCACTGGCTTATTCTACTGGATCGCCCAGCTTCTTGGCGCCATTGTAGCAAGCTTCCTCCTTAAAGTTGTGACTGGAGGCTTGGTAAGCATTAACATGATACTGAAATCTCAAATATTATACGACTAAAAATACATTTCAAACTAAATCTGAAAAATATATTAGATGACGGTTTGAAATCTCAAAATAAATCTAATTAGACGATGATTTTACAAGAAATCGTCGTTTAATATTTTGTCAGCTGGAGCTCCCGCTTTGAGCCAACACATTAAAGGACGATTTTTTTTTTTTTTGTAAAACTATCGTCTAATTAGAGGCGTTAAATGTCAATTTTTTTGTAGTGATTCATATATGAAAATTTTTATATTTTTAAGTACACGACAATTATGCTTTTCCAAAATATTCATGTACCTAAAATTTTATTTCCAAAATATTTTGAAGTTATACAGGACAATCATTTAGTGAAAATGCATGACATAAATATATTCATGTGCTAAAATGTTTATAGTTTTAAGTGCACGACAATTATGGACGTTTTAGAAGGATCTGATCTTTCCCAAAAAAAATAAATAAATAAATAAACTTTTTAGTTTCTAAATTTAAAATGAAAAAAGGAAGATGTTACTGAAGCAAAAAAAATATAAAAGTATTCTACTAACTTGCTATCACCTTGCCGTACTTTCTGTCCGTTATTTCTGTAAGATAAGATATCTTTTGTATTCTTTTTTTTTTTTTGGGAGGATCTTTTGGAAAATTTTTGCGTGCATGGCAAAATGACAGCAATATCCATTCAAAAGCGAAACGCTTCATGCAAATATAACGTGGGCAGTTATGACTTCTCACTCCAGAATAAAGTTGTAACTTATAATTTGGTGGTGTTTTAGGCCGTTCCAACCCACAGCGTCGCCGCCGGAGTTGGTGCCATTGAAGGAGTTGTGTTTGAAATCGTTATCACCTTCGGTTTGGTCTACACCGTCTTCGCCACCGCCGCCGACCCGAAGAAGGGATCGCTCGGCACGATCGCCCCCATCGCCATCGGCTTCATCGTCGGGGCAAACATCCTTGCCGCCGGCCCATTCTCCGGCGGATCAATGAACCCGGCTCGCTCCTTCGGGCCCGCCGTTGCCAGCGGAAACTTCACCGACATCTGGATCTACTGGGTTGGGCCTCTCATCGGCGGTGGCATTGCTGGGCTCGTCTACAGCATTGTCTTCATCCACTCTGATCACGCACCCTTGTCCAGCGACTACTGATAATTATGATTTGTTTAATTTTCTTGATTTGATTTGTAATCTTTTGTGATTTTGGACGTACGTGATCCCTTGTAATAAAAAGACGGAAGGTCAATTTTTTTTGCTCTTCCTTCTTTTGATGCTTTTTTTTTTCTTTCTTTTGTGTGGATCCTCTTCGGATTCTCTTTTGATTTGTTTTGTTGTTGTAAAGTCGTAGCTGTTGTCAACTTTTGCTTTTTATGGACATTATGCATGAAATGAATTGGTGATGTGCATCAACTCTTAAATTTTTCTGTATGACTTTTGCTTTTATTCTTTTCTGTTCTCTGTTCTCTCTTTCTCACTTTCTTTTTATTTTTTTTCTTCCTTTTTATAGATGACCCCTCTTACCTACAACGCAGCTGAAAATTATGCGTGGAGGTTTTCTAGCCGTTAATTATTATTATTATTATTGTTGTTTTTTGAAAAGACAGAAGAGGAATGCTGTTTAATCTTTTCTGTGTCCTAACAACTTTCTCCCACAAACTCACTTATATCTCGTTCGGTTCGTTAATTCAAGTTGAGATAGATTTTGTGTAAAAACTTTTTACTGTAACAAAAAAGTTAAATATGACTGTTTTTTAGAGCTTTTTACTGTAGTAAAATTCGAATTCTAAACTCGAATCAGCGAAAAGAACGAGGCCTTAATAATAATAATAAGTCACTCTTTTTAAACATATTTTCATTCATTTTATCGGTTTAAATTTTGTTACAATAAAAAATTTTTAAAAATAATTATATCTAATTTTTTTATTATAATAAAAAACTCTCACATAAAATCATATCTTAATTCAAATTAAAAACTAAATAGCGACCTAAACATAATGCACACGTTCTCTTCTGTGCACTCTTATTTACTAAAATGCCCTTACTTTTCTCCTATATCTGATGATAGCTTTCCATATTCTGTTCAGCCAGACCCAAAATATATATAAATTGCTATTCTCAAAAAAAAAAAAAAAAAAACATATATAAATTGCTTAGTGAGTGATATTTGTATGTCAAAATAAAGATAGATTTCCAAGTATATATAATATGTGCTTTGGTCAGTGATTGAAGTAGGACTTGCTATTGCTACCTTTTTTTTTAATGTTGATCTTTTATTAATCTTTTTTTATTACGTACATTTCTTTTACTTTATTTTTAATGTTGATCTTTTATTAATCTTTTTTTATTGCGTATATTTCTTTTACTTTTCTTTTGAATTGCATCGTCTGTTTCCATGACTTTTTTTTTTTTTTTTTTTTTTTTTTTTTTTTTTTTTTTTTTTGATGTTGGATGGGTTTATTGTCCGTAGTTTTGCTTAACGAATTTTAGTAAAAAAAAAATTTGTTATTTGTCCTTTTTTTAATGACTTTTTTTTTTTTTAGGCGATGCTCTTTGATTATATGAGTTATGACTAAATATAGTTGCTCAGTGATTCTTTTTTTTTTTTGCACATATTATATCGTAGTTTTGTCACAAAATTATACTAATTAGTTTCAGTGACTATCCTAACTAGTATTTAATGGGTTTGTTTCGGATGAGAAGGGTGGTTTTTCTTATTCCATTTACCAGATTTAGAAACAAGACAAAATGACAATTTTGTAAATAATGAGGAGAGAAAATAAGGTGAGTGGGAATATGAGTTGGTTAAAACAGGGGATGGCACTCTTGTAAATATGTTTGAAAAGAGTAACTTGTTATTGTGGTTTTGCAGGAGAAAGTTGCCATGACAAATGTCAAAATATAGTTAGCATCTATAGAAGAGTCTGTATTTAACATTCCTCAAAACAAAATACTGTGCACGGGGCCAATAATTTGCAACTATTTATGTACGTAAAGAGAAATTAATAAAGTTTCTTTTTTTTCCCCCTTTTTCTTTTTCCTCTGGACGTTAAGTGGATAAAAAAGTCACTTCGAAAGAAAATAATAATAAAAAAAAAGTGGATAAAGGAGTTCTTTTTATTTTCTGATTTTTTAACGGAAGAAAACAGAAGACTGCCTTGTGGTAGGTGTTCAGGTGATTTGTTCATTTTCCAATTCCAACAGATCACTGCAGTTTGCAAAGCATTGCTTGTAATAAACTAATAATAATGTTGTTGTGTGAGAAAATGTGACGGACACATGTACGAACGATAATGCGACATGTGGCTTTAATTGCTCCCCGCCAAACAACAACCCTCGACGTCTACAGCTCTAAAGAGCCCAAGCACAAAGTCCAACTTAAGGCGACGATTCCTTCTGGCGTCGACAGATTGAGCCGGATTCCTTCTGGTGTCGACAGATTGAGCCGTCGAGATTAAGGTACAAAGATCCCTCGACCACATAATCAACCACTAAGAAGGACGATTAGGCTAAGCGTTGCTGGCGACGAGGGGAACGTTCTCTAGAGGACGTGGCAAGTTGCGTACAAAAGTGGAGGACGCTTGCAGGCATTAATTGTGAGCTCTTAAACCGCCCCACAGGGGACAGGATAGTGTTACAAGGACGCACAGAGCCGTAATAGAAGACTAATTGGCTGAGTGAACAGTGTTGATTAGTGGGCTACGTCTGGGCCTAAAAAGGGGAAGCACTTGAGTGCTTCTGCCTACGAGGGAAACCCACCCAACGAAAAAAGCCCAGTATAAAAGGAGGGAGACCCCCTACGAGGAAGGGGTTCAGATACAAGCAGAGAAAAAAGAGAGTGGGAGATAGCAATTGATGTAAATTGTAATCTCCTCAAAAAGAAATATACACCTACAGTGGATGTAGCTCTAATTTTACAGAGTGAACCACTATAAAATTTCTTGTCTTCTTTATTTGTGCACATCTCAAACTATATACACCATACACTCCGAACAACAAATTTACACACATATTCAACACCTAGGCCGGTAATCCAAAGGGAAACCAAGAGGTAACCCGGCCGGTTTTTGTTGACGAGAAATCACCGTCAACAATTAGCGACTCCACTGAGGACCGAAAGCGTTCGACCCCCAACAACATAGTTAGCAAGCACGCCTCCAAGAGAGACGGACGAAACCGCCATCCATCCAGGGAATAACGGATGGAAGAAGATCTACGCCAGGTCAGAAACGAAGTCCCACCCCCAGACGCGCCACGGCCGGATCCTGTGTAGATGCAAGCCCAACTGACCACTCTAACTGAGCTGGTGCGTGGGCTGATGGCCGTGGTTGAGCGCTTAGATGGAAGGAACTCTATGCCGCCATTAGAAGACGCCTCGAGGCCGCAGGGACTTGCCATGGCTGGAAACCCGAACCCCGGTGACCACCCACATATCCAAGAGGGAACTGGGCACAGCGAGAATCACCGGGGCCCTCCTACGCCTCGGCCTTCCCAATCCTCTGGCAGCCGTTTAAGGACCGCCGGACTCCGAGCTCCCGAGGACCGGGTACCAAGAGGTCCAGGAAATCCTGAGGTACTACCCCAGAATCCGGGAGGAAACCCACCGGGAGACTCAGGATCAGTACAGGCGGGTGGCCAGGCGAGGGGCGAACCCAATGCTCAAAGGGCAGAGGCGTCGAGGGTAGTTGGCTCGGCCATCTCGACAGAAGAGGCGCGTGCCATCATGGAACATATGGCTAGCCTAGAGCAAAAACTCACAGAGGATGTGGTAAGCCTGAAGAAGAACATAGGGCGAGTGGCTGAGGTGGTAAACGTCGACATCACACCTAGCCGCACACATGACCATCCATTTTCCGCGGAAATAATGGCACCCCCTATCCCCGACAAATATAGGTCGCCGTCAATTCCACCGTATGATGGTCGAGGGGATCCCGACGATCATTTGGAGATGTACACAGGACACATGCTCTTATCGGGTATACAGAGGAAATCATGTGCCGAGCTTTCCGGAACCATTTAACAGATTCTGCCCGAAGATGGTTTCAGACGTTGAGGCCAAACTCTATCACGAGCTGGGATGAGTTGAAGGAAGCATTTTCTCTCTAATTCATAGGGGTTAAAAAGTACGTCCCCCCGAAGCAGAATCTGACGACGATATACCAAAAGCCGAACGAGTCATTAAGGGAATGGCTCGCGGGATATGGGGGGAGGGGGCGCCGCCACGATGGATATAACAGACAGAAAGGCCTTGATGGGGGCATTATCTAGCATGAAGAAAATTACCCCCTTCAAGAGAGAGCTGAACCGGAAACCCCCGTCCAGCTACAGGGAATTTCTGGCACGAGCGCAGGGGTATATCAATGCCGATGAGGCAGACGCAAATGACCCCGAGCACAGGTCCAACAAGAATAAAGGGACCGAACAAGGGTCGACGCTTGTGAAACAGGACGGGAAGAAGCGTCGAGGTGGAGGAAGCGGAGACAAGCAGCCAACTGCGACGACGAGCGCTCCAGAAGCCAAGAAGCCGAGGCAAGAGGATACCCGTAAGCCTCGATTGTTTCAGAAATACGATTCCTACCACAAGCTAACGGTAGGAGTCGAGGAGGTCTTCAATCAGGTCGGTCACGGGAACTTGCTACGCCGACCAGAACCGATGAAAACGGATCCCAGCCGGAGGAACCAGAAGAAATTATGCAGGTTCCACGGCGATGTCGGCTACCACACTAACGATTGTGCTGACCTCAAGGATGAAATCGAGAGAGTAGTCCGTGAGGGAAGGTTACAAGAGTTCAGGGCTAAACGAAGACCTCAAAACGACGGCCACGGTGAGCAAAATGACGGTCGACGCCGAGAGGAGAACCAGCGCCCAGAGGATCGTGAACCCGTCGGCGTCATACGAACTGTCCTCGACGGCCCCTATATAAGAAGAGACTTAAGGAGGTCTCAGAAGGACTACGCCCACGAGGCCAGAGGGTCTACCAGGAGCGATTCTGGAGCGTCTCCGCTGCAAAAACCCCAAGGTACAGCCACACCGACGTGCCCTTTAACGAGGACGACGCCAGCGAAGTTCACTTCCCCCACAACGACACATTGGTGGTGGAAGCCATGATAGGGAACCACACCGTGTGCCGAATCCTAGTAGACAATCGGAGCTCGGTGGACCTCCTATACTCCGACTGCTTAGAGAAAATGAGGATCCAAAAGGAACAGTTGGAAAAGACCTCCAGGCCACTATATGGTTTCACCGGGGACTCCGTCATCCCCCAGGGGACCATCCGGTTGCCAATAACAGCCGGAGAAAAACCCCGACAGGCTACTACAATGGCCAACTTTGTGGTTATAAAAGGAGGCTCCCAGTACAACGCCGTGATTGGGAGACCAGCCCTTTAGGCGCTAAGGGCCA